GGAATGTGCTGGGTACAAACCAAATGAATAGCTATCAAGTTTTCAGCAAAGTGCTGAAAATACTGGTTGTGTGGTAGAGCTTTGCTGAGGAGAACCATTGTTTGTGAACATTGTTTGGAGAGCTAATCAAGGAGTTTTACTTCTGCTTTCCATACTTCCTTTAAAGACAATAATATGTCAGGTCTCTGATAAAACCTCCACTGTTTTAGTCTCAAAACAATTCGAACATGCAAGTAATGCAATTTTGTGTCTACTCAAAAGTAGTAAATCCCACTTAAATTTAGTTACGCTTACTCACCAAGATCTGCTTGAGGCAGGACAATTGGGGTAGAAGAGTCTGTTGACTTTTTCTGCAACACACAGTTAGTTCATTTCCACACAATTGACATTTGTTGGGTTTTGGCATTCCCCTCTTGATTCTTAACCCATTTAAACCCCTCAAGTTTGCTTGTTTTATAGTTTGGCTTAGTCAATGACCTCTCTGCACTGTAGTTCATTCAACAAACCACAATTGAGAAATGGTGATTGAGCTCAATATATCAAAAAGATGGTTACTTTGGAGAAGAGATGGATGTTTTCTGATGGAAAAGGAGAACAAACTGGTGGCTTTGTGAAATGGGAGGAGGAAGAAACCAAGAGCATATGATGTTGTTTTCACACCACAATAAAAAGAGCAATGTTCCCAAAAGATAAAACTGGTACAAAATCATGAAATAGTAAAGAGAGAAAGAAGAAAGGATCAACTGTTGGAAATTGGGAAAAGCAATGTTTTCCTGTTTTAGTGTACTATAAGTGAACAGGAATGAAACCATTCTTCAAATTACAGTACTGAACCAAGTACAAAGATGTCCTGATGCTCACAACAAGAAAAACATACAGAAATGGCTAAAACTCTCCCTGCTGTTTCCTAAATAAATCCTGATGCGAGACATGGAACTATGTTATAAAAACTAGACACCTTGTGTTGTTTCCATGAATGTGTGTCTACAGTGAAATAAAAATTCGGTTCTTCCTTGCAGTAACTATGAGTCACAAAATCATCTTCCACTCTTCTTTCCCCTACAAAATTCTTTCCCCTTCAAAAATTAAAATAATTACTTGAACCTGGTCCCCTGTGACCGGCCCACAATGGCACCACATTTTAAAACAATCCTATAAAAATGGCCATAGATACAGCAAGTTACAAATCTTCAGAAATTGACTCAACTCTTCTCTTACAGGCAGGCATCTCATAATTCTGAGGAAGTCCAAGGGACCCTACTGATGTACGAGGGCTATCCACAAAATAGATTACGTTTTTGTCTGTAGCAAGAAGGGGCGGAGCTAGCATGGCCATCTTTGGTCTGTGCGTCTGCCGCTCAGTCTGCATCTAGTCATGCTAGTGGGAGGTTCATATCGTTGCCCGTTATTTCACAGCAAACGTTTGAAATGTGTGCTGCAATTGAAAATCCCGCGAGTTGTGAGGTGCGATCAGTGATAAGGTTTCTGTTGGCAAAAAAACATAAACCGATTGAAATTTTTGCTACAGACGAAAACGTAATCTATTTTGTGGATAGCCCTCGTATTTCATGCTGACCTGTATGGATTTTAGTTTAAATATTTCTGTAGATATCTAAAGAACAGTTCAAAAACTGCTTGGCCTGTAACCAAGTGCCCAAAGTGCATGTGTGCGCACATCCCCAAAGTGCAATGTGCACATGTCTTCCATTCATGTGCCATGCACACTTCCCTGTGCATGCACCCTGTGCATGCGCACGCATCCCTGCAGATGTGCCCCAATCCCCACGCAGGCACCCAGTCCCCCGTGCATTTGCGGCAGAGACCCAAAGACCAGATGGCCAGCGGGAGCTGAACTGGGGCAACAGCTGACATGCCATCTCTGGCAGGTGTACCATGGGTTCGCCATCACGGGCGTAGAACATTTTAATCCATCCCTCTCAGCATCAGTCCCCAATACAGTGTATTCTTACTAACCTGTAAACCGTACTTTGTTCAATGGGATGTACCAGGGAATAAACCAGGACAGTGCTGCTGTTTCCCTTCATATTCTACAAGCACAATTTGTATGATTGCACAATAATATCCAGCACGTTTCCTATGTAATCAATTTTAGTGTCTCTTTTTCTGGCTTTCTGCAGCTTCTGTCAACATGAGACAACCTTAATTTTAGTGCTTAAACTGCAGGAATGTATTTTTTATTTTGGTGATTGAATATTATCCATTTCTCTTGAAGCAACAACCACAGCAACAATGCCTCATTTAAAAATAAATAAGGTTCTTCCATAGATTTTGCCATTTCTTTATTGAAAACAGAGCTGGAATATAACTGCAGCTGTTACGGTTTAGTTAGGATAAATCAATTAATATGTTAATTTTAAATTTGTGTAGTGTGGAGGTACTTTTAAGCTACGTTATTTCATCATTATTTTAACATCATACATTAAAATTATAGTGTTTTATGATGTATTTTGATTGTTTCAGTGTTTTATTTGGTGATTTAAATGTGTTGCAAGCTATTCTGGGAAAACGTAGTGTTGAAAAGCAGCATGCCCATTTAAAATTACATGAAACGGAATAACACTATAAATAATCATCTATTCTCCAAATAAGGATTGGCTATAGTTTCCCTAAGAAAAAGACAAATCAGCAGTAAGACTATTTTCAAAATTCTTTTCTTCTCTCTCTATTTCTCTGATCATGTATAAAATGTCTTAGGTAAAACAGCTCGTGAAGAAAATGCACTTAAGGAATTATTATAACTGTTATAATGTTTGGTTATTTTGCATCTGGTTATATTGCTACCCCCCCCCCCCCCCCCCCAAAAAAAAAAAAACACCACCCTCAAGTATTTATGCTATGACAGACAACAGGTAATTCCTTAATGTCTTGCATTTTCATTCTTCATGGAAACAGCAAATGGCATTTATAAGATAGGAATATATGGCCTGCCAGAGACAAAGAGAAGGGCAACATCTAAATGAGAAAATGGCTTGCAAAACACATTTCCCTGGTTTTCCCATTTAGTGAACTTTTGATAATCATTGCATCAATTAGGCCTAATCAAATATTATTGGCATAAACACTGCTGTCTCCTAAAGCTATTTCACTTCTGTGCCTTCAATAGTAGGAAACATTATCCTTGAAAATGGCATGAAATTGTAGGCTCTTTCAGCTCAGTAAGAAGGGCAAGGATGAGATAAAAGATAATTACAGCTGATAAATCCAGAAAATACATTTGAAATCATCTAGTATTTATTGACGGCCAAAGGTACAGGTTAATAAAGTCTTCTGGAACCCTAGGAAATGCAGTTTTATCCTTTCCCTCCTTCTCTTATACTGTATTTGAAGTGCATTTTCTTTGCATTTTGAAGAAAATTATGATTTATGAAATGGATCCATTTGACAGGGTATTTGGGGAAAATCCTGCACCAAATTAGAAGGTTATTGTAGAGAAGCGGTGAAAAAAAATCACACTGGTTGAATGCGTTACAGGAATACGTTCTGGTTCTGCCACTGGAAATATACAGTATAGGATGTGAATTTTTTTTGGCTGATTTTTTGCAGACCCCATTCAGAATACAACTATTGCCATCCTTAAGTCGATAGCCTTGATGGACATCATTTTGGCCATTGAAGACCAAAAGGGCCTTGGAGAGGATTCTCTCAGGGACTCTCTCTCCTTCCCTTCATCAGCATTTCAGCCTTTTGGCTTCTCATTTTCACTACCACCACCACCACCAGAATATTTTAGACTCTGCTCCAAAGAAGGCTTGCTTCCCCAAAAACACTCAATGTATTAAAATATATATCCTATTTTTAAGTGAAATCCAACTTCAGAAAGCTAACAACGTAAAGAAAATTAGTAAGTTGCTGTGAATAACACATACACATATATTACAAACAATTTCCTTCCCTTCCCCTCTCCTTTTTCTTTTCATTATAATTAGGATGTTTAACCTGATTATATTTTCTGTCATGTGATTCATGCTTTAACACAGATTTTTTTTTGCTTTTGTTATTTTAAATTGTTATGAACTATTTTACTTGACTGCAGCTCAAAAGGGTATACAGTTTAAAATCAAGGTAAATAGAATAGAATAGAATAGAATAGAATAGAATAGAATAGAATAGAATAGAATAGAATAGAATAGAATACTTTATTGGCCAAGTGTGACTGGACACACAAGGAATTTGTCTTGGTGTAAATACTCTCAGTATACATAAAGAAAAGATATATTCATTAAGAATCAAGAATCATAACGTACAACACTTACTGATAGTCATAGGGTACAATCAACAATCAAATCATACTAGGAAACAGTCAATATAAATCATAAGGATACAAGCGACAAAGTTACAGTCTTACAATCACAAGTGGGAGGGGATGAGTGATAAGGAGTGATGAGAAGATTAATAATAATAGTAGTGCAGACTTTGTAATAATTGAACAGTGTTGAGGGAATTATTTGTTTAGTAGAGTGATGACTTTCAGGAAAAAACTGTTCTTGTGTCTAGTTGTTCTGGTGTGCAGTGCTCTATAGCAGTGGTCCCCAACCTTTTTTGTACCAGGGACCAGTTTCACGCAGAAACACTTTTTCAAGGACGGGGGGGGGGGAGAGTCCGAGTTTGGTGGTTTGCTTGCAGACGTTTCATTACCTGACTAGGTAACATCTGATGTTGTTACCTAGTCGGGTAATAAAACGTCTGCCAGCAAACCACCAAGTTCAGGGAGCGCCAATGCCTCCTCATTGCAACCCTGAGCGACAGATATTCTCTTCTATTGGGACATTTAAAACGGAGGGTTTCAGCTGCAGATTCAGGAACTGCGCCTGGCTGAGGAGCGCCTTCAAAACTGAGCGCTGGGCGGTGGCGGCCCACGGCTGTCTCCACGGCTTAGGACAAATCCCTGCAGGATGGCTGAGAAGCCCCGCCTCTCGGCCCTGCCTTCCTCAGCCTCAACCCTCAGGTGTCTCCCTCCCTCCCTCAGCCTCATCCCTCAGGTGTCTGCCTCGTTCCTCTCTCAGTCACTCTCTCACTCCTCCACGAGCCCAGGAAGAAACTGCTTCAAAGAAGCCGGCAGGGTGGCTTCCTGTCGGCGCAGCTCCTCCGAAGTGCCCGTTCACCCCCACACAGCCGCCCACGGTTCAATCCAGTGCTCCGTTCTGCCTGCCTGCCTGCCTTCCTTCGTTTCTGGTTGTTTCGGAGCAGCTTCGGCTGAGAAAAAGAGGCGAATAGTTATTATTCTCAGCCAAAGCTGCTCCGAAACAACCAGAAACGAAGGCAGGCAGGCAGAACGGAGCACTGGATTAAACCACGGGCGGCTGAGTGGGGGTGAACGGGCGCTTCGGAGGAGCTGCGCCGACAGGAAGCCACCCTGCCGGCTTCTTTGAAGCAGTTTCTTCCTGGGCTGGTGGAGGAGCGAGAGAGCGACTGAGAGAGGAACGAGGCGGGAGGAAACCGAAGCCGCTGAGCCGGAGAGCAGGACAGGCTTCGGTTGCTTCCTCCCTCCCCTTCTCTCCTTTGTGTTCTTGATCCCTGATCTCAGCAGCATTCACCGAAGGCGAAGAAAGCCGCCATTTTTATTTTATTTTTTATTTTTATTTCTTTGCGGCCCGGTACAAAGTGATCCACAGACCGGTACTGGTCCGGGGCCCGGTGGTTGGGGACCCCTGCTCTATAGTGTTGCTTTGAGGGAAGGAGTTGAAACAGTTTATGTCCGGGATGTGAAGGGTCTGTAAATATTTTCACAGCCCTCTTTTTGACTCGTGCAGTATACAGGTCCTCGATTGAAGGCAGGTGGGTAGTAATTGTTTTTTCTGCAGTCCTAATTATCCTCTGAAGTCTAAAGGTTTCCCCAGGCTAATTGTGTCTGACTCTAGGGGGCGGTCATCTCC